GGAAGGATAAGAACTAGAGAACCTAGTTAAAGAGAAAGATCTTATGAGATATAGAAGAAATGGCCAGAGATGAAGAATAAGGCTCAAGAGTCTATAATCTCAGTTTTATAGTTATAACTGCTCACGCATCATGGAGTCTTTTGGCTAAATAAGGCTGTTCATATTATTATACTGAAGTTTTTTCAAAGGAGAAATTTAGCAGTGTCTTTAGGAAACTGGCTGGAAGCAGTACAAATAAATATAGGTGAGCCCGAAGTGAAATTGAGTGAATGTTAAAAGTTACCTTGTTTGATTAGCACAGAAGATTCCATATGACATACATGCAGTTGGCCTCAGAGAATTAAACAGTTGCCACAGATGGGATTTTTATCTCAGCAAAAAGTTTGAATACTTGCCCGGGATGATAGGCAGTGAATGGACCACAGAATTTTTAAAGATGAAAGAAAATCGTACATTTGCCTTGACGGCTAAGCCTGTACAAGGCTTATGTCCTTGGACTATTAGCATATTGATTCAAAGTTAGTAACTCATAGTCATTATCTAATAAATTCAGTGTGTTAGACAAGACAAAGACTTTTAAAATATAGCTGAAAACAAGAGCAACAAAAACTAAAACATTCCACGGGAGTCAAATAAGTAACGGAAAAGGGTGAAGGAGACCAGATGTCAGGCAGTAGGACATGGTGGGGACTGAGAGAAACCGGAGAGTGCATAATCTAGCTCAAGGGAGAAGCCAATACACAGATCCAGCTGATTTGTGACATGCAAACGCAAGCCGTGTGGCCAGATCTGATGTTTCAAGTGGTGCCAGACATCTGAATTTTTTAATGTGATATTTCTTATTTTATATCATAATACTCAAGCCAAAAAAAAAAACCACACAGACTTTCAGATCTGGCCTTAAGTCTACTAGTTTTCAATATTTGGCTTTCAGAATACACCTCTTCTAAACTGAATTAGAAGGGCAACTTCTAGAAGGAGGTAGCCAACCAAGTATATAAATTTCCCTTTATTTTTTGGTAGATACTTCATTTCAGGGATCTTGGGCCAGAAGCAGGGTGTGGGGAGAGAATAAATTTTAAAATGAAAAATATACAATTTTAAAATACAAACTGACTGCTTAATGAGATATGCTCTAGAAAATACGAAAATAACATTTTTAAGTACATGAAAGGAAAACTGGCCTTTTTTAAGTTTTCTAAGAATAATTTCTAAGTATGTTTTTGTGTTTTTGACATTCAGTCTAGTTAAAAATATCAGTAAAAAAACACGAGATTTCAAAGTTGTATTTTAACTTCATACTTGAAAATCCAGGGGTTCAGAGAGCATCTCTGTCCTCCAATGCAAGAGGGGAAAACCTGAAAACCTTTAGTTTCACCTCTCCAAATGAGCATTGTTGTGTCTCATTTGAATGGCCAAAAATATCTCTTTCTGCTGAGATTTTGTGATATCATCACTGATGGCATTTACAGTATTTCGCCGAGTCTAAGATGTACATTTAGTGATGTCTCAACAGACCTGAAATCAGAAAGCATCTCACAATCAATGGTGTTTTATAATAGTTGGCTGCATGTGCAAGCAGATGCATCAGCCTTTCTGTTTGTGCCTCCACTGAGCTACTGCTCATGCTGCAGCTGTGTTGTCATGTAAAATTTCTTTCACAGAATGATAAAGCAAATGTGGCAAAATGTGATGAGTATGTAACAATTCTTCAATCCGTTTTTGAACTCTGTAAGTCTAAAATGACTTCAAAATAAAATGATTTTTAAAGTCTTAAAAGATTACACTATGATTTGGCATTAAAGCAGAAATTTATTGTGTATGCAGCAAGGCACAAAAATGGAGCAGTGGGGAGAAAATTGACATTAGTGAAGTGAATTTTCATCAGTGGAATGATGCATTTTCATTTTTCTCACAGAGCATTTTACAGGACCACGTAGATTAAGTTATGTGACATTTTGTATCTGAAATACATGCAGAGATGCCTATTGCAGGCCAAGCCAGGCAACTGAAAGCAGGAGAAATTGCCAATCTTTTGGAACACATAAAAGGCATTTCAAAGCAGAGACTGATATGCAAGACCATCAAGTCAAAAATTAGTTCAGAGTGTAATTTGAAACATGTTTTATTAGTGGACATTAAAAAACACAACTTAAAATTGATAACAATTTAGAACTGATTGAAAATGTAAACTGTAGTACTTAGTAGGGTGGTGCATTTTGCAATTATCATCATGAATTTATTTTAATGTCTTTTGCTTTAGGACCTGAACTCAAAGCTGATGTGTTCTCAGTTGAGTAAAAGGTAGTGTCTTGACTATGAAGACTATAAACCCTACATTATAAGTTCTATGATACTGAGACTGTTCCTGTCTTATTCACTGCTCTGTCGCTGACTCCTCTGATGGTGCCTGACACATGAGAACACTACGTAAATATTTGTTGCATTAATGAGTAAGTGAATGGATGGAGTAGAACAGACTCCAGGGAAAGCAGATTTGCTTAGTAGAATATCCCACAGAAGGCAGGGAGTTAGGACAGATGATCATTTGAATTTCATCCTCTCTCTGAATTCACGTGCAGCCTTAATGCAGGTTTTAAAAAGAGTTCTCTTCATTCTTTTTGACAAGTAATTTTCTGACTATGTAGCCACCAAGGCAGCTTGGATATGCTTTACCAATAAGTGGTTACAGAAGTAATAAAGCTAGTTTCTCTCAAAACAACACCCTCATTCACCCCCTACTGAGGTCTGGCTGCCTGGAGAAGAGCAGGTGCAGAATGTCTTGATGTTGTGCCCAAGGGCAAGCAAAGAACTCTCCTCATGTGACCTCTAGCTTTCTCCCCCTGGCTCCTGCCGCAGCAAGAGTCAGAGTCTCCCTAGATCACAGATGAAAGTCATCTTTGATTTAGAAGAAGGAACTGTTGTCAATTCTGCATTACCAAAAGATGGGAATAAGGGACTACATACACACACGTGTGTGTGTGAATAAATAACAACTCTTATTTTACAATGGATAGCTCTTGAAGCAGAAAAAAAAGCTTAATGGAAATTTGTATAAAACATCTTGAAAAAATTGTGACTCTGTGATGAAATAATATGTTAACTATTTTGTCAATGTAATTTCAGCTAAATTACACACTAGATTTTAAAATACTTAATTAGCCACCACCTATGGACACATACCTTTCAGCCTCCATAAATGCTATCATAGCAATAACAAAAAAAATTATTTCTGTAACTTAACTTGCAAGGAATAGAACATTTTTATGTATCAGTAGCAGTAATAGTGAATCATAGTAAATATTACTGAAATAGTAAAATATTTAAAAACTCCATTAATTTGTGGCGACACTAACCTGGTTTACCACCTGTCTGCCTGCTTGAAAAGTGAAGAGAGTATAAATGCAGTTGCAGGTAGTCTCTCTTCATCTACTAAAAACGAACCAATAGGTTTTAAACATTTCAGAAGCACTCAGTTATCTGCAAATGACTGGCCTAATTAGGCTTCATTCTTACTTATTCCGATAGCAATTCCTCAAACTCTCTGATTGTAAGCTCTGTGTCTTTAGGGTGAATTAAAACTTGACCCTGGACTCAGAACTGAATTTCATTGTCAACTCTAGCACTTCCTACCTGTATCTCCTAGATGTTATTTAACTTCCCTAAGTCTCAGTTTCCTTTTAATAAAATGAGGAGAATAACATTTTCTACCTCATGGGATTAAGATGATTATATGAGGTAATTTACATAATGAATCTGGCCTATAGTAAGTGCTTAGTAACTGTTAGACGTTGATATTATTGTTACAGAGGTTGCACAGATGTATGTCCTTGGTGATAACCAGTAACTTAGATCTACTGGTAATGCCAGTGTTCTTCCTCTAGTCACAATTAGTGAGAATCTCCTAGTGTTAAAATGCACAGGGAATAGAGTTGGGAAACATTTATTGTGGTTGTTCACCATTTCTCCCTCCTTCTACTTACAGGTTTAAGATAGGCGACGTTGCTGTGTCGAATGTCGTTCAAGAGCTGATCTCTGGGAGTGATTTCCACCAATGGGGGTGGCCTATTTCTCGGCACTGGTTTCAGTGTTTTGATCACATCTTTGAGGTTGGTTTTTTCAGGTGGTTCTCTGTCTTCCGGTATCCGAGTTTTACGCTGGATCCTCTTCACTTTCACCACCCGGAAAGAGTCAGGGTCCGTCCTGTACTTAGGAGGCTGTGATGGCTTTTTCATCGCTTCATTTTGTCGACTGAAGGGGACTGCTTGGGGGTTGGGAGGATGAGGAGGAGGTTGGAGGAACTCCTGCATTCTGGAATCTGGCATTGGTCCTCCCAACATCTCCCACATCCCTGGTGGCAGCCCTAACCCATTCTCCAACATGGCTATTAACCTTCTCTGCTCTTTGAGTTGCTGCTGTTTTTGTTCTTCTTGTCTTTTCTGCCTTTGTTTATCTTGATTCCTGGTGAGCAGATTGGTTACCACCATTCTGGGACCTGGAAGCTCAAAATGATAGCCCATCTTCAGGAGAGTGTTGTTTGCCTTCAAAAGCCTGGATATTTCCATTTCAGCGTGGTGGCCCAACATGTGCCTTTGATTATGAAACCGAAGTTCGGTTAGTGTCTCATTAAATTGGAGACACCTCATGATGGCCACAATTCCTTTTCCTGTGATGAAATTGGACTCGATGTTGAGTGTGGTGATACTCCTATTTTCACGCAACATGTTAGCCAAGGCGAATGCTATATTCTCATCTGCACCCACATTTGCTAAACTGAAGGTTCTGATGTGTTTGTTTTTCTTCATTGCATTGACAAAGTCCAGTAACATTTCTTTGGGGATGTTTTCAATGTTGTTTAGGTTGAGTTCCTTCATGTCAGGGTCATTTTGTCTAACTCGCCTCAAGCTCCCATCTAGGTCTGTTTGGTTTCCTGAAGGCCTTGCACTTACTTTCAAAAAACTGGTATCTAGAGCTAACTTCTTAGGATCTAATTTTGACACTTTTTTCTCACTTTTTTCTTGGGCCTCTTGTCTGTCTTTCTGTTCTTCAAATGCTTCACTAGTTACCCGCTGGCAGTTGTTCTTGCTATTTCTGACTTGCTCCTTTACTTCGCCTTTGTCTTCTCTTTTAGTTTTTTCATCACTCCCTTCACTCTCATTTTCTCCTTCATCATCTTCATCATCTTCATCATCTTCATCATCTTCATCATCTTCATCATCATCATCTTCATCATCTTCATCATCGTCATCATTGTCATCATCGTCATCATCTTCATTATTATCCTCATTATCTGATTCTTGGACAATGTCGCTGCCCTTTGATTCTCTTTTATTTGAAGTAATTTCATTATTGAGCTTTTCTTTTAAATACTGGGATACCTTTTTATCACTTTTGTCTCTTTCTTCAAGCTGCTCTTGAGTGTTTTCCTAAAAGAGAGGTTTGTAAGGTTTAGAATACATGGCAGTGAAGAAATCTACTGAAGATTTATTATCAAGAAAAAAAGTAAGCAAATTAACTATGTATAGTATCTACTTGTGTAAATGTATATGTTTGTACATATATATACGCACATGCCATATATGAAAGTTTATAAGAAAAAAGTCTATTTTATTGTTTACCAAAGTAGTAGTTATCTCTTAGTAATAGAGGTAACCATTAAGATAACTGAGAAGGGGGAGCACTTGGAGGATTTTCACTTGTTACAGTATATAATTCTAGAGTGTTTGAGTTTTTCTTAAACAAAGTTTAAAACACATATTAGTTTTGTCGACAAATATAACCAAAATAAAGATAATTTTTTATAGACACACACAAACACACAAACATACATTTTTGGGCCATGTTTACCTCTACCAGTATATTAAAATGAAACCTCTGTTAGTGTTTGGAACTTGTACTATTTTTAGAAATGCTGCAGAGTTCCAGAAGCAGTTAATGATTATATGTTTCGAAAACCTGTGGAGTTTTCTACCAATACATTGAAGTCTTTGTTTTGTATATAGCTGAATAGGCATCTTTACATTTAATGGCCCTAGGTTGCTCAATTTCCATATAGCCATAACCAAAATTTACATTCCTCATATGCTTGTTAATCTGTGTAATGTGTCTCCCTAAAAACATAATATATTGTAGAGGAAATGAGAGCAGTTTGATATGTTGGAATAAACCAAAAACCTTGACTTTGATTTTGTCTCCTCAGCTCTGTGAAAACTGCCCTGGCTACTGCAAGGACAGGTTCACTAGTCCAGTTTCTTTTGAAGGAAGGTATCTAGGAGGCAGAGCAAACTACAAAAGGGAACAAGATTATGCAGAGATTTAGAAACAATCGATTAGTCTGGGAAGGAAAGTGTCAGCCTTTTATCGACAGTGTTTATTAGATCGCTGCCCTTCAATTTATTCACTTTCCTATACAGTATGACACCTCAGAGGTATCACTTGTAAAGCTGGTGTAGCTGTTTGAGACACAGGTTTATTTGAATAAGAACTTGATCTTATTGCTCATAACACTGTAGGTTGGAATTGACAGTTGACAACACCTTAACTTCCTAAAACCTTCACTGCTGCATTTCTCATATTCCCCAGCAGGGGGAGCCAGCCATCAAGCTGTTTAAATTATACCAAGGGTAGGAAAAGTAGAAAAAGTACCCAATCGATTTTCTTTTCCTGAAATTGTTCATATAGAATTTGCTTTTCCTCTAATTGTAAAATGTCTGAAAATTTTACCTTTAACTTTAACCTGATAAAGTTGTTAATTTATTTTCTTGAGTTCAGTACAAGTTTAAACTCTCCTGACCGTGAGACCAATTTATAACTTTTCTAATTACAGCCAGTCTGATAGTAATGTGACAAGATCTATCTATATCAGGAGGGATAACTAAAAGAGACTTTACCTGGGGGTAATCTCTCTTTTTTTTTCTAAGTTATTTTTAAGTAGAATATTAGAAAAAAGTATGCTAATATGCAAGAAGTTTATAGATTTAATCGCAATTCTACCTTTCATACAAAAACATTTAAGAACTATCTTTAAAACAGTTTAACAGCTATTAATTTATAAATTTATAACTGATATCTAATGCACTGTGAATGTTGGATATTTTGTGTTCTTTGACATGGTTTACTTTTAGGGTGTGCGGATGGACTTCACGGGAACTGTGACACCCTTAAAACTGTATGTGAAATATTGTGTATGTATGTGCCAGAAGGGTAAAGAGCTTTCATCGGCTTCTTAATGGGGCCCGTGAGCCAAAATAAAAAAAAAAAAGAGTTAAGAACAATTGTTTCTGGGTTATGAGTTAATTCATTAAATACTATGTCTATAGAATACAGGCTTTTCTACACAGCAAACCCAACAGCAGCTTTTAAAAGGAGGCATTTACAAGAAATTACCAACTTTTCCTTCACAGCCATACCATGTAAGTATTTCAGAAAGTTCCAATCTGGAGTAGGATTAAATATTACAATTTAATCTTTAAGGACATGAAATCTTGAGAAATGACCATTTCGACATGGACAACTGCCATTCCAGACAGCCATTTCTCTGTTGTACACAAATCCCTGATTACCTCGGATGGCACAAAGGTGACAGGAACGCGTTCGTCTTCCAGCATGCGTCTGGATGCCTTTTGCCAATACATATAATCAACAAGAGATTTATGGTCGAAGTGTCCTGTTGGTGGCTTGTCGGTTTGATCTTTCTGAATCATTCCCACGGGAAGCTTGGGGTCAGGGGCCATGACTTCCATTTCCGATTGCAGTTCTGCCAGCTCTTCGGGGGACAAGTTGGCCAAGATTTTATCTTCATCAA